GGGAAATATACATGAAGAATCGGGGCTAAAGAACCGAGGAAACCACTATAATTCATTCTGAGCAGGAAAGAAGTTACTGAAAGGATACCATACTTCACATTCAATTGAGTGTGAAGTGAAGACTGAAAGTTCTATAAAAGCCAAGGTTTGATTAACGTCGGCCCCAATTCTTTGTGATTTCAGCAGCCACAGTGGGCAAACTTCCAACAGCAGCCACCGCAGCAAGTGAGTTTCAATGTGCATTACCTAGAGGTACGGTAGTACTAAAGTGAATGAGATTCAGTAGTGACGTCGGTCGTTTAGCAAACTGACTTTCCTTGCAAAAACGCTTACCATATGCAGTCATTGAAGCGAAATACGCATTCATTCACAAGCGTGAGCAAAGAAATAGTTACCGGTTAATTTGTAGATGCCAACGCGACCACACGATGCATCTCCAGCTCAGATTCTCTCCATGCAACAGCCGACCGTTCCACCCGCACCAGAAATGGGCATGCACGACAAGATCTACCAGGTGATGCAGGTGGGACGCTAGTCTAGAAATTTACGATGAAACTGTTGTAAAATAGCACAAAATCGTAAGAGCAGTCATTAGTCCATTAGAGTTTGAGCATGAAAAAAAAAGAATGAATAAAAGAATGCCGTAAATGACTATACATCAGTGGTGGGAATTCTGAATGCTGCTATGCGGACATATCTCCCTATTCACAAGGGAACTGGAACTGGAACTTGTCAGGGCAACCTTTTATAATCTCTTATTTCAGAAGAAATCACAGTCCATGGAATTCAACGTCCCCTCCAGACCTATTTGTAAGTTGCTTGGCTCGAAGTTTGCGGAGAATCCAACAGAAAATGTTGCCCTTTCAGGGACCGCTATCACGCCCACGCCAGAAACTCCTGGAAACTATGACCATGACGCAATTTTCCAGGAAAATCTAAAGAAAATTAATGAAATGTCAACTACTACAGTTCCACCGACGACAACCGCCAAAGTAGCTGAGATCAAACAAGTTAGATTTGCCCTGGTCGACTTTCTAGTATCATAGGGTTGAACTCCTATGAATGAATTTCAGGTGGAAGGCGAGAATATGTTCCGCGATATTCTGTCGGTATTCGATGAGACTGAGAAGAAAGAGGAAAAGGTGATGAGGATTCCTATTATTTTGTCCTTGTTCGCAAAAGGGCATGACTCTTCTCGAGTGGTTTTTGTAACGCTCTAGAAGATCGCATGACTTGATTTCGTGGAAGTTTCATTCGGTGAACCCTCAAAAATCACCGATCCAGTCCACCACCGCCAAAAATTTTTTTGAGGCGTTTGAGGGAAAAGGACACTAGCATCTCGTGGAATTCCTTCGCGGTTTCGATGTTGCACGGTTTCTACGACCAGGGCCAAGCACAAGTAGTGCTGAATGATTCTTATTGGGAATTATAATATTTTGGGAGGAATATACGTGATTGGGTGGCGGTGCTTGTACCCGAACCCCCATGATAAGCAGTAATGGCTCCGAGGCAACAGCCGCGTCCTTCTACTGTAAATCGAAAACTTCTCCTTCATGGGGCGCGATTGGGTGCGGCAACCAGGGCACGCCGTTCCGGTGAAAAAATCTCTCGACCTTTTGGGGAGGCTTAGCCTGCTTTCCAGAGAACAGAACACTGTCATACGGTATTCAGCAAGAGTAATACTCTTCAAGAAAAATTCCCTTTCACTTCTCTGCTCTCCTTCTTATCCCTTTCTCGTCAGTCGTCTCAATCGCATCATATTCAAGATGTGAAAGGAAGCAGGTCTATAAGGGAAGGGTTCAGAGCCTCCTGACTGAAACTTTTTAATGGGTGCCCTCTCCAACCAATCATTTCAGGCGCCGAAGTTCGCGAAAGAACCACTAAAGAGAATGGTTGACAGCGCCGCCCAGGTTAGATGTTTTGAATAAAGTATTCATCAGATAGGTGCAGTGCCATCAGGACCCCTACAAGTACCATAGAGATTCATGAACAATTCTCAATTTGCCTCAAGAATTTCCGGCAATCATAGATCAAAGCATATTGTCCCTTTAGTCATTCAATGGATCTCGTCTTATGCCCAAACAAAAATGGGAGTCTGATGGATCTTAAAGAGGCTTTTTCAGGTCAACGTTCCAGCTGAGAATATTTTCAAAGCTGTGGAGGAGCAAAAGCCGGAACCTGAAAACATTTTCAAAACAGTAGAGGA